AAGAAGAGCCTTGTGTAAGGGCTATTTTGACAGCTACTCATGTTTCATTACTTTGAGCTAGATTAGCCTGTTATTGCATCCAGTGCCTTGATCTGGGTCACACCTGAGGCAAACAGTCTGGGTTGCCCAATTGCCTTGCACCTGCTGTTGTCATAGCTGTGCAAATTGCCATAGAATATAAATAGCATACTATAGAAGGCAGTGGAGAATCTGACTCCTCTGCTGTTCTTTCCTTCTCACATCCATTACCTTTTTCCTACTGGAAAACTAACTCAGTTTCAAATGTTTAGATACCTGCTTTACATGTTCAGGCATCTGTCAGGGTTGGTTGGTATACTTAATCCTGCCTCAGGGTAAGGGGGCTGGACTAGATGACCTCTCAATGTCCCCCACAGTCCTACATTTCTGTAATTCTCCCTCACTAATCATCCATAGCCTCTGATTTGGTGAGCGGTGTTTTGCAAGCTGTTTTACCTGGACAGGCTCCCAACCTTCACTTGATGCAAAGAGGAGCAGCCGTTCACCTGCCTGGAGCCTCCTTGGTGGGATTCTGTGTGGATGCAGCAGTTTGTCCATGCTGTCCGGACTCTGCTCTGTAGTGTCTCTGTTCAGTCTTCCATCAGCTTCCTCCTTAAGACCTGTTTCCATCATGAGTCCCAAGAGGATTATGAGCTATTAGTGCGAGGCAACTTGTTTATGAGTTCTGTGTTCCTTGTTGCTTTTATTCCTTTCCCCCTTTTGTCCAGCATATGCAACTTGTCTACACACACTGTGCGCTTTGGGGCCAGGCCTGCACCTTTGTATTGGTAAATTACATCATACTGGCTGGTGCTGCCAGCTACCCTTGCACATTGCTGTGCTGCTACAAGACAGACAAAAATACCTGTTTCTCTAAATGAGGATGGCTGAAAGGGTTTGAAATGGAGGGTTGGATTTTGTTAAGCCAGACTCCCCCCCCCCAGATGGCTGTGATGCCAATTAGGTAGGGACTGTCTGGAGAGCTCAATTGGCTATGCACAGCTCTAGCCTTCACAGTGACTGCTTGAGATTAGCGCTGATGAGGAAAAGATTGTATGACATTTGAGTGAGAGAAATTTATGGCTGCTGCTTGAATTAATTTTCCTTTGTGTCTGTTCACGGCCTCTTAACTGGTTATTCTGTATTGTTTATAATGAAATCATGCATGTCTTGCACTTAACATCTGGACACCAGAGTTGCATGTATTCTCCATGTCTTGTTACACCTTTTAACATGCTGTGCTAAAGAAGCATGTTAATGACTAGGGGATGGTTCTGATCCCAGCTGTGACTCTCCCAAGTTTATGCTTGAGCTCATGGTGCCTTTGATTCCTTTCCAAGTCTTTGTCTATGTATACAATAAACTTTTCAAGGGCAAGGAGTGCATTTCACAATGGGTCTGTCTATACTGTAATTACACATCCATAGCCAGCCAACTTGGGCTCACAGGCACGGGCTCTGGCTTCCTCCAGGCCTCAGTGGTGCTTATCTATAACCCCTAGGGTTGCCAGGTGTCCGGTTTTTGCCCAGTAATTGCGTCTTCTGTCTGGCAAAAAAAAAAAAAAACAACAAAAAAACCAGAAAATTTTCTGTTTTTCTTGGACAGAAGGCCGGCGGGGACATTTTCCACCTACTGGCGGGGGGGGGGGGGGCGGCTTTTTTTTTTTTTTTTTTTTTTGCTCAACCAATTTTTTTCCCTGCCATGTTTAGGATTTTTTGTGAACGTATCTGGCAACCCTAATAATCCTCATTGCTCTGACTCTGACCCTGCCTCCACTTGCCCCCTTTCTCCAAGTCCCCACCCACCTCTTCCTGTCCATGCTCCACTCCTAACCTACCTCTTCCTGACCAGTTCCGCTGCTCTTGAGTGTGCTCTGTCCCTCTTCTTGTGGCAGGCAGGAGACTCTGGGAAGGAGGAGTTGATCTGCAGAACTGCAAATGGGCATGAGGCACTGAGGGGAGGAGGGAGCTGACTGCTGGTGAGTGCTAAGCACTCATTAATATTTTCCATGGATGCTCCAGCCCTGAAGCACCCATGGAGCTAGTGCCTGTGCTTGTGGGGCTAGGGCTCTTTCATTGCTATGTAGGCTTCAGGGCTTGGGCTGGAGACTGAGTTGTGGGACCCTCCCATCTTGCAGGGTCCTAAAGCCAAGGATCTAGCCTGAACCCAAGTATCTGCACTGCAATTAAACAGCCCCTTAGCCCAAGCTAGGTGTGTTTAATTGCGTTGTAGACATGCCCTCAGTGTTTTGGAGTTGGGACCTCAGTCTCAGTTGGGACTCTAGATGCTCCTGGGAATATGTAATTAATAATCAGCATAAGCAAAATATTTGGAACTTGTGGGGACTGTTTGAATAATATTTAATGAGCAGCTGAAAGCAAAGTCTTTTCTCTAATATCACCTGCGTGTGTGTGTGTGTGTGCATGTGAAAATGTACAGTAGTGTGGTTCAAGGTTGGGTTGATCTGTTGACTTTTTTCCTTGCTCTTTTCCCATTCGTCACATAAAATCAGAACATTTATTTATTTGTTTGTTTGTTTGTTTGTTTAGTGTTTGTATCTGTGCTTCAAAGAATGTACAGACCTCCATTTGGGTTGACAGTTGGATCTTGTGGGAAGGGGAGATTAGAGTCATAGAGTTTGAAGCCAGAAGAGACCACCAGATCTCCTAGTCTGACTTTATGCACATCACAGGTCATCAAAGCCCATCCAGATACCACTGTACGGAGCCCAACATCCTGGTTTAGACCAAAGTCCTTAGGAGACCAGACATCTGTGTGCCACAGGCAGAGAATGCGTGGGACTGATGTACCCTGAGGGCCCTGCAATGGCAGGAAGCTGATTGGTTGGGATGATCCCATATGATCCTAGCAAGTGCCCTGCATGCTGCCCTGCAAGCAAACCTGCTGACAAAGTCCAAAAAACCTCACTGTCTATGCAACTTTGATCTGGTGAAAAATTCCTTCCTGACCCCCAAAAGGGTGATAATTTATATCCTGAACACGTGGGTGAGACTCAGCAGCCATGCTGCTGAGAGAGAAAATTTCCCGGTGAGGGGAGGAAATGTCCTTCCTCACCCCTGAATGTTCCTGGCCAGAGCATGAGACTTAGGCATGTAAGACATAGGACTGAAATGCATCCCCAATGAACTCATTCCCATCCTCATGGACAGCTCTGTCCCATCAAAGCTAATTCACTTTGCGCCCACTGTTCCAAACCCTCACTCCTCTGAGACTAGAAAACTTCTAATTTTCAGCCTGATTGATTCATGACCAGCTTATATCCATTTGCTTTTTTATTAACGTTTTTGTTGGATTTGAACAGCTCTTCTCCCTTCCTGGTGTATACCTACTCTGACATATTTACAGAGAGCAATCCCCTTTCCTCTCAGCCTTCGCTGCTTGCCATTCCCAGTGGGGCATACTGGACATATGTTGCTTAATGTGACTCAGCAGTGCGCTGGTCCCCAAAACACAGAGAAGCATGTATTTGCCCAGTACAGAATAGGAAAGTGACTTCCCGAGACACCCCTCCTGCCAGTCCACTAGTAAGTGTTGCTGGGCACAAACATTCAAAATGTGTGAAAGGCCTGAAGAATCATTGCATTAAAAATCATGAGACATTAAATAATAATTGTTGGGATCACATTTTCAAGCTTGTTTTCTTCACTCATGTGGTTTTTAACCTGACTTAAAGAAATGATTGAAGTTCTCACAGCTTTACCTGACCCTAAGGCTACGGCTACATTGTGCATTCTTGCGCAAGAAGATATGGAAATGAGTCATCACCATGCCTTATTTGCATATCTAATGAGTCACCATTTTGCACAAGGGGCTTTTGAGCAAGAAGGAGCAGTCTATACTGCTCCTTCTCGTGCAAAAAAACCCCCCTTGCACAAGAGCCATTAAGCGGCAGAACAGCTTCTGCACAAGAGGGGGTTTTTGTGCAAGAAGGAGCAATGTAGACTGCTCCTTCTTGTGCAAAAGCCCCTTGCACGAAAATGGTGGCTCATTAGATATCACCGCGCCTCATTTGCATATCTTCTTGTGCAAGAATGTGCAATGTAGACGTAGCCTAAGAGTTGGACCTTAAGAAAACATCAAACATCACAACAGTAGTCAAGAGCTGGCAACACTATCTGGAGAGAAAGATGGGTTCCCCTCATGTCTGGAAGATGGAGAAGCAAAGAATGATGAAGGCATGAAATAAATCCCTTCTTCAACAAGAGGGAATGGAAAGAGAGGGGATGTAGCTTCCTCTTCCTAGTAACTAGCTGGATCTAACTCCCCACAGCCCTGTGCAATCATGCTAATGCAAAGTGGGTGTCACATTCTGTCAAATCAAAACAATAATGTTTTCACACAGGCGGACTTACCTGCTCATGATACCACATAGCAGTGAGAATCAGGTCCAATAAATGCAGTAACCCTTCTAAGGGCAACGACCCAAAAGAATTATAGGATGTGAAAGCTTAAAAAAAAAAGTTGCAGATGGGGAAAAATTGAGCTGCTGTCAGGAATGTTTCAATCTCAGAAGAGTGGACGGTGATTTAATTATTTTGTTTCAATCTCTGTTTTTTTATTATTTGTATTAAAAAACAACAACCCAGAAAAAACACCCCAGCGCACTTAGGCACCAAGCAGAGTTTATCTGACCAGCAAATAACATTCTAGAATGTAGTTAAATAATTAATCTCTTCCTGTAGAACAATGATGGGAACTGCAGCCATTAGCACTTATCTGCCTTGTCTGTTTGTTAGATGGGGAGGCGATTCTAATCCAGAAGGACTCCATGCTGGATTCAGCCCTGGTTGCTCTGGGTAGTTTTCCGTAAACAATAGGTTACTTGGAAAGGGAATGCTTTAACATCATAGATTTGATCAAAAACACAGTTCATGAGCATCTCAAATTCACAAAGTCTGTGCTGTTCTTGTGTTACTCAAGCCCCTAAACACCCATCTCCTCCCCTTTTTCATGATTCCCAGGGACCCTGGTCAAAAACAGCTATGATTTTGCTAATTCCTGGGCATTGCACAGTGAAGATAAGCGATGTAAAAGAGTCCCTGCTCCAAGCAACACCTGCAATATTTCATCCGAATTTGCTGATAAGGTGAGTGCTATACCAATGTACAGTGTGCTCCCATTGAAGCTGGTAATAGTTTTATTCCAGGGGACCCTCTTGGTTAGGTCACAAATTCTGCGAAGTCTGGATTATCTTCATCTCCCATTAACTTCAAGGGTGGTTTCAGGTGCTTAGCTCCATATGTGATTGCCCTAATAGCCACTCTTTATGTGGATGGAGCTACATACTCGCTCAGGCTTTTGTCTAAGGGCTTGGCTATGCTACAAAGGGTTAGTTACCCCATCTTCCCAACAGCTGGTTGCTGTGTTGGTGGGAGATGCTCTTCTGATGCCATGTGAATATGGGGAGGATTGAGGGTGGTAAAGCTATATCACCCCGGCGTGATGTACTTTTACTGAAGTAAGTGTATAGTGTAGACCTGGCTTAAGAAGAATATTTCAATGGTCAGGGGCTTACCCAGAGATTTACTCTCCCACAATTTTTTCCTCTGTGATCCTGGGCAAGTTACTTCATGTCTCTGGGTATATGTACGCAGCAAATAGCCACCTACAGCTGTCCCAGGCAGCCACCTTAAGCTCTCAGGGCTTGGGATGCAGGGCTGTTTCATGTCTGTATAGACTTCTGGGCTCAGGCAGGAGCAAAGGCTTTAGGACCCTGTGAGGTGGGAGGGCCCTAGACCTTGCATTCTAGCCAAAGCCAGGAAGTCTAAGCTGCAGATCAAACAGTCCCAGCCTTGTAGGGTTGCCAGGTGTCTGGTTTTCACCCGGACAGTTTGGTATTCGGATCTCCTGTCTGGTTAAAAAACATCAGAAAATACCTGACATGTGAAACATCTGGTATTTCCTGTTTGCCTCGGATGGAAGCCCGGTGGGGACAATTTTCCCCTGCCGCATCTCGCGAGGGCAGGGGAGGGAGGACCGTGGGGCCATTTAAAGGCGCAGTGCCCCACCCTTTTTTTTTTGCTTAACAACTTTGGTCTCCCCCCTTTTATTTTCTCAACAGAATTTTTTCCCAGTGTTTTTTTGGGGGAAGGGGGACCTTTTATTTTCTCAACAGAATTTTTTTGGGGGGAGGAAGGTGTCTGTATTTTTTGTTAAACCATCTGGAAACCCTACAGCCTTGCAAGCCCAAATTGGCTGATGTGGGCCATCTGGGGGTGTCTAGTTGCTGCATAGCACTACCCTCTGTGGCTCAGTTCCTCCCTGTAAAATGGGAGTCATAGCACTTTGCTACTTCACAGCAGGATAGATTCACTAAAAATAATGAAGCGCTCAGATACTGTGGAGATGATGGGACATAACTTAACTTTGGTTGTATAAAGTTTTACAAAACCAATGGAAATATTTGTGTGGTTTATTTAAATACCAATGGGGGCAGTTTCCTTTCTAGAAAAGACCCCCTGGAGCTACTAGTAGCTCAGTCATTGCAGGAGCATTGGGTTAGTGCTCCTGAGGCTAAAACAGATTAGAAATACACATGCAAATTCCTACTCTGACTTTTTTTTTAAAGCTGTGGGAGATGCAAAATGCAAACAGCAATAACTCTAGCCACTAAAGGAAGGGTTTTCAATAAATGACAGTCCAAGAGCCTCTAATGGCCTGCACAGCCGCTCTGGAAAGTCGGCCGGTCAAGTGGTGCTGGCTTTCCTCTTTTTCCGAACTGCTAGACTTTGTTAAAAGAAGCTAAAACTAAAGCTGGATGATTTTCAGACCAATAATGTATTCAGCAAAAATGCTCTCTTGATCAAGGTGAAACAATTCACGAATAGGACACACATTTGTCAAAAAATACAATGGTTCCAGCCAAGATATATTTTGTAGGACAGGTGTGCAGAGGAGACTTCCCTGAACAGTTGTTAGCCCAGGGATTAGGGAGATCACCTGGGATGTGGCCTGAGTTTAAATCTCTGGGGAGTTTATTTTGGCTTCTTAGTAGGTGGGAATCTTTCTTACCTATGGAACTAAAGCTCTAAGGGTATGTCTACACTACCCCCCGGGTCCGCACCCCAGTGTGCCTCAGTGCCCCCTGACTGTCCTCATCTAGCCCCTCGCAGGGCAAGTTACAGTCTGTATGGGATGCTCATCATAGGCATTTGGGATTATCTCCACGGCCCGCTTACCTACACCAGGCTGTGATCTGCCTCCAAGCCCAGGCCTTGCCTCCGTCCCCTAGTCAGGGTAGCCATAGCTGGCCTTCTCCCAGCAGGTCTCCCTCCTGAGAGCTCCTGCTTCCACCACATTCAGCCCCTCACTGGCCTCTCTCTCCTCCCCCTTGAGCAACCTGGGCTTCTCTATATATACGTGCCAGCTGTGCTCATACTCGCCCTAATGGGTTCAGCTGGCTTCTACCAGCCACTCGTGCAGTCCTGGATCTTTGCCAGCTGGGCTCTCTCTAGTCCTAACTAGCTCCCGCTGGTCTCCTTTCTGCTAGCCCTGGCTCCGGGCCGGAGTCCTGGTGTTAAAGGGCCAGTGCAGGGCTGGCGCCCTGTCACATCCCCTAATTCGAACTAGGGGGGGTAATGTAGTCATACGGAGTTGCAAATGAAGCCCGGGATTTGAATTTCCCGGGCTTCATTTGCATGAAGCCGGCCGGCGCCATTTTTAAATGCCGGCTAGGTCGGACCCCGTGCCGCGCGGCTACACGCGGCACGGACTAGCTAGTTCGGATTAGGCTTCTATTCCGAACTAGCTGTACGCCTCATGGAATGAGCACTCACTCACAGATGCTCTCACGTCAATATGGACTGCACCCCTGCGTATGCACTCCCCCATTTCCCCTCTTTAACAGAGGCCCAATAAAGACACTGAGCAGCAAAGTAAAACTCATTGCCATGGCCCCCAGCTTGCCTCACCACCCTTGGTCCCCCATCCTGCACAGGATGGCGCAATACCACCTAATCACGCTCCCATGCAATCCAAACATCTTATACCAACCAGAAACCATGTCTCTTCACCTTCAATTCCAGAGATTTCACCTCAAGATGTTGTACCTCACTGGTTCATGGGCACAGAACTTCAGTGCTCCAAACAGGTGGATACATCTTATTATAAAGCAGAGCTCCTTCAAAAAAAAATCAACATATATATTAACAAAGGGAACCCGTTTCACCCACTGGGTGACCTCGCCTAATATACACAGCAATATGCTCCACTCCCACCTAGTTAGAATACTTACTACATCTTAGACGACACCATAGTCTTTGCACATCCCATAACCAAACAACTTCTAAAAGGTCTAAAGTCTGTATACCCAAACATTGTGAACCTACACAACCATGGGATCCACACATGCCATTAACAGTGAGATGGCGGCGCTCATGCCTAGTGACCTTTTAGTACTTTTTTTGTTTGACAAACTCTCTATGTGGCTACACTCAAAATTCTTACTAAAGGTGTTCTCCACTTTGCACCTCAACCAGACGATACTCTTACCGTTATTTTTATTTATTTACTTATTTGCTTGTTTCTTTTCAAAAACCTCATGTTAATGCCTTTGAAGATCAGATGCACACACTAGATGTCAGAAGGACACTTTCCCTCTGTATCAATTCAGCCATCTTTTCAGGTTGTCTTCGCAAATTTCCATCTCCATTGCAGATCACAGCAACCAAAATAGCATAACGTCACAACGATGGTCACATTTGATTTCTGGCTGCATTTCTACATGCCTACTAGATTAGCAAAAGCTGTGATACAAAGGGCTTACTTACCTGATCCGAAGTCCCTACCTCCATACAATGTGCTGCTTTGTAGCCAGCCTAATGTGGAGCACCCCCAGAGACACCTCTCGAAGAAGAAGAGCTTACTCGCCTTCCAGTAACTGATATTCTTCGAGATGAGCGTCCCTCGGGGTGCTCCAATACTGTCCCTTCCTCCTCTCTACTTCGGAAAATCTTAATATCAAGACATCAGACATCCTCACCGGCTTCCAGATAGAGAAGGAACTGTAGGGAAGGGGAGCCACGCATGCATGATGGCACCAGGGAGGCCCGCACGTGCTGTGCACCGCACATGCGCGGCCCCAGAGCACTGCTAGGAAAAACTCCATCGAGAGGCACTGGGACGCTCAACACCTAATGTGGAACACCCCTAGGGACGCTCATCTCGAAGAACATCAGTTATTGGAAGGTGAGTAACCTCCTCTTTCATGGGCATAATCCACTTCTTAAGATGACTGGGGTGTTGGAAGTCCAGATCTATGAATAAATAAGGGAAGGAAGAAGGTGGGGGGAGAAAGAAAAAAAATGGAAGGGGGGAAGAAAAAAAGACAGGGAGTAGATAAGTTTCAGAGGGATAGCAGAGTGAGTCTGCAACAGGAAAAACTTAAAAAACAACAATTAGTCTAGTTGTTATTGTTTTTTAAGTTTTTCCTGTTACAGACTAATTTGGCTACCCCTCTGAAGCTTTAGAATTTACAGCTGCTTATATATAAATCACATTAAATATTGTAGCTTTGCAAGATAACATTTGCTTTACTGGCCAGTGAAATGAACTCTCCCATTCTGTGAATTCCCAAGCCCACAGCATTTAACAAACATTGGCTTAATTTATTCAGAGCTATGAATAAACGTTGTACTATTAATAGATGTCCTGCTAAAGTGAGGGCTTGATGAAGAATTCTGATCCTTTCAATCAAGAAACAGATTCCTTTGTTTGCTAGCTTCAGCTTCAGGAATGCAAATCTCCCCCGTCTCTCAGCCCCTTTGGATCTGAGGCAGTCAGCTGGCAACAGAGGAAAACAATAGCTTTGGTTCATTTTATTGCTCTCCCCCCATCTACATCTGGAGTTCTTCTTGTCCTTTCTTCCCCCACAAGTTGCTGTTCCAAACCACGTGTCTGTAGAGATGCCTCACAATTTAATTTAACAAACTCTTTGAAAGTTGAGCAACGTTATGGGCCTGATCCAGAGGCGAAACTGTAGCTCTTGCATTGACTTCAATAAGGGCTTGGCGCTAAGTATGACAAAAAGTGGAGCCCTGAAAACAGGTTTGAAAAAAAAAGTTGCCTAGCGACAGATTACTCATGACA